GAAAAGAAAGAAAAAATGAAATGGATGTCAGAAGAGGAGTCTAAAGCTTGTTCTTGAATGTAGAATAGCTAAAGCAAATGGAAGAAATGAAGTAAAAAAGCTAAATAAAAAGAATTAAACAGACATTTTCAAAGGGAAGCTCAGGAAGACAAAATACTATAATCAAATGTACAAAAAAAAACCTGGAATAAGAAAATTAAGAGCCAAATAATGACACTGAGTATCTCCTACCCAAATTTACAGATCATCTGAAGATCTTACTCACTGAACACTAATGAATGAATATCAGATGAGCTGTAACATGGTTTCAAGGACAAGCTGAAAGATCTGTAGAAAAATAAATTCAAGCCCCAACTTTAAATACTGAAGGATTTTATGGGCAAAATATTGTTTTATTCAGTAAGCATCCAAAGAATATGGACGAGTCATTGTGCTAAAAAGAAATGTCTCGTGTTCACACATTTTAAGAGGTAACATATGATCAAGAACTGACGGTGTTAAAGGAAGAAGCCCATGCTGCGCTGAAGGTGTTGGTGAAAAACAAGGGTCCAGGAATTGACAAAACACCAACTGCAATGTTTCAACAAGCTGATGAAATACTAGAAATTCTCATCTATGCCAAGAATTTTGAAGACAGCTATCTGGCCAAATGACTGGAAACTATTCACAGTTGTGCTCATTCTGAAAAAAGGTGACCCAATAGAATACAGAAAGTATCAAACAATGGCATTAAGTAATAGTTTGCTGAAGATCATTCAAAAACAGTTGCAGCCGTATATTAGCAGTGAGCTGCCAGAAATTCAAGCTGAACCTCGGAGTATGTGAAACAAACTCATGTGAGGTGGCTCTTGGCTGAAAGCAGAGAATACCAGAAAGATGTATACCAGTGTTTTATTGACTATCTAAAGACATTCAACTGTGTGGATCCTAACTAACTATAGATAACAGTGCAAAAAATGGGAATTCCAGAAGAGTTCATTGTACTCATGCAGAACCTATACGTGAACCAAGAAGCAGTCACTCATACAAAACAAAGAGATACTGCAAGGTTTAAAATCAGGAAAGGTGTGTGTCAGGGTTATATCCTTGCACCATACTTATTCAATCTGTATGCGGAACAAATAATATGAAAAGTTGGACTACATGCATAACAACACAGCACCAGAAATGGAGGAAGACTCATTAACAGCCTGCAATATACAGATGGCACGTTGCTTGCTGAAAACAAAAAGGCCCTAAAGCACTTAAATCGAGCATTTACTGATGACAATCAAAAACTACAGCCTTCAGTATGGATTATACTTTAGCAAAGACAAAACAAAAATCTTCACAACTGGACAAATAAGCAACATCATGATACTTGCAGAAAAGATTAAAGGTATCAAGGATTTCATTTTACTTGAATCCATAATCAATACACATAGCAGAAGCAACCAAGAAATCAAATGACATATTACATTGGACAATTCTGCTGCACGAGAACTCTATAAAGTGCTAAAAAGCAAAGATGTTACTTTAAGCATATCTAAAATGTGCACCTGACGCAGGTCATGGTGTTGTCAGGAACAATTTGTTAAGTAAATGCATATGCACACTGGACGATGAATAAGGTAGACTGAAGATGAACTGGTACCTCTGAATTATGGTGTTGGTGAAAAATATGGACTATACTAGAGACTGCCAGAAGAACCAACAAATCAGTCTTGGAAGAAGAGATTCAACCAGAATGTTCCCTCAAAGCAAGGATGGTGAGACTTCCTCTCACATACTATGGACATGTTATCAGGGTGGACCTGGCCCTGCAGAAAGACATCATGCTTGGTAAAGCAGAAAGTCAATGAAAAGGACTAAAACTCTCCATAAGACAGACTGACACAGTGGCTGGAACAAAGGGGTTAAACTTAACAAGGATTGTGAGGATGGCACAAGCCTGGGCAATGTTTTGTTATACACGGGATTGCTAAGAGTTGGAAACATTGGCAAATTGTGCCTAGTTTCTACTTCCCTCCTATGGTGGACAGTATACTTTTGACTTCCTTGCATTGAGTGGTTTTAACTTTTTCACTTTATTATTACATAAAAATACAAACAGCTGATAATTTTATCTAGTCACCCCTTGCTATCCGTGGAGGATTGGTTCCAGGACTCCTGTGTGTTGCAACCTTCACAGAGGCTTACAAGACCCTTACAAAAGAATGGCATCGCATTTGCATATGACCTATGCACATTCTCCTACTACAGTAACTTAAAATACTAAATAACTTATAATACCTAATATAATGTAAACTCTACATAAATCACATTTTATACTTCCTATTAGATTTTGAAGGGTTGCTTTGACCATTCAATTACTTCCCTCACCCCAAATATTTTCAAGCCGTGGTTAGGTGTGGAGGCAAAACTTGTGCATATAGCCAATTGTATGTATAACTATTGAATGTGTAGATAAGGAAAAGTAGTAAAACAACTAAAAATTATACAGCAATGTATATATGTCTGAATAAAAGTTCAAATAAAATGCAGAAATAAAGTACTCACCGCAATGTCAAAGTATAATCTCCCTGCATTTTTGTTGAGGCATCTCGAACCAAGAAGGTACCATCTGGCATGTCTCGTAATTTGTCATTTACTTCCTCTCTGAAGAACAGAATTATTGGAAAATTAAACTACAAAAACATTATTCTCAGCATCTGTTATTACTAAAGCTGATTGGGAGGTGGGTCATTTCATTCTTCCCACTAGATATGCTCTGTTTTGACTTTCCATATTCTACAACCTCAGGAAGGGCTATTTGTTTTTTAAACTCTTCCAGATTCCAATTGTCTGTGGGGGTTAATGTTTCCAATAAGTCTTCAGGGCTTCCTTAGGCAGGTCTGAACTTGCAGTTTCATGAAAAACCAACAGCTGTTTAGCAAGGTGGCTATATTTAAGCAACATTGGCAGCTGTGCTTGATCAGAGAGGCAAAAATAATAATTTCGCAACTTTTCAATAGAATAGTCTCCAATTTGAATTTATACTGATAGAAGATTTATTCTCAAACATTGGTGTAGGATTAGAACACACAAAGGCACTGGAAGGACATAAAATATCCTTGAATTACGGAACCATGGGATCTCTTAAAATATGAATGTTAATGGTACTTAAATGTAATTAATCTAACTGCCATTGAGTCTATGCCTACCCACAGTGACCCTATAGGACAGAACATATTTCTTTTGTGGGTTCCTGAGTCGGTACCTCTTTCTAGGAGTAGAAAGCCCCATCTTTCTCCCAGTAGCAGCTGGTAGTTTCAAACTGTTGACCTTGCAACCCAATGTGTAACCACTACACCACCAGAGTTCCCTTAGTTTCTTTTATTCTATGATAACTTTCTGATCAATTTTAATATACAATGAAACCTATGAGTGTCAGAACACAACATGACTGCCTTGTTTATCTGGGTCCCGCATGTTTTCCATCTTTGACAAAGTACAGTGTTGCCACTTTGCATCACTCTCTATTAAGATAAAATACTTAGTATTTTCTTCTCATTCAGGTTTCCACTTTTCACCTTTCATATTTTGCCTAAAAAGTAAATCTGCCCCGAGCCCTATTTCTCAAAGTGTCACCTGTAAATAATCTACATCAAAATCACCAACAGAGTTTTCTAAAATGCAGATTACTGGACCCCATACCCAGTTGATTCTAATGCAAGAAGAAATTTTGGAATCATTGTTTTAGAAAAAGAAAAATGAGAAAAAGTAAGTGCCTATAGGTATCTTTTATTCTAATACACATGTAGTTGTCCTGAATGTGTAATTGTCCTTTGAAAGTTCCACTTATTCAGAAATCTGTCTTACATACAGTGTTAAATATATAGTACAAAAGATAAAGTGAAGCCCCTCCCCAGCAAATCAGTCCCACAGCCACTAATTGGGGTTGGATGATATGTAGAGTGTGGTAATAAAAGGAGGGTGTGCAGGCCTGAGTAGCTGAGGACTGATACCGCAGAGCTTAAAATAACTGTACTCAAAACTTAATGGTCTTCTCATTTTATTTTGTGGGACTGTTAATGGAGGGTTGTTATTTTGCTACGATGAACAGGTTTTGACATTTTCCGGGCTAAAATGAAGTAGGAATAAAGGTCTGGCAATTTACTTCTGAAAAGCTACCAATGAACACCTGATGAACCACAATGAGAACAGCATCTTGTTCCCCTGTGCAATGAAGCCATCATGAGTCAGAAGCTAACTCCACGGCATTGAAGAACAACAAATGGGGCATTGAAAATTTTATCTTAACTACTAATTCTCAGAGACAATTAAAATTTCCATTTTTTTATAGACTTCTACTTACCTTGAAATATCCCCCCAGTACCATTCTGCATCCTGAAGAGAAGCAGCAGAACTATCCTTCATCTCACTTGTAACTGTTGAAGTCATTGGCTTAGGTGGCTTTGGTGGAAGAGCTACAAGAGAAATTGACATTATTTATAAATTAAATTACTATTCATTTTCTACCTGTCTCAGTCACAAGCATTTCATTAAGCACATTAAGATTCAAATAATTATCAATCAAATTAGTGTTAATTTGAACATTAGGCAAGGAGTTTAGAAGACTAGCAATAATTGTCTAGGAAGTAAACAGTTAAGCTACTTATTTTTTCCCATTTATAAAGTACTAGTTTTTAATTCTGAATAGATCGCTCTTAATTTTTTCAATGTCACTCAAATGACAAAGTGAAGCCACACTCCAACAAATCAGTCCCAAAGCCATAACTAGGGGTTGGATGATGTAGTTTGTGGTGGTAAAGGGAGGGCTGTGCAGAGCCTGAGCAGCTAAGAACTGATATCTCAGCACTCAAGTGTGATAAAAAGGGGATTTTTCACAAGTAGAAGCTTGGTGTTGAAGCTTGAAGTGAGACAGGTAGTGACACATGGCAGGGTGTCAGATACACTCAAATGAGTTGAGCAAGACAAAAGATGGACTGACAGGAGTACTGTTATGGGTTGAACAGTGTCCTGCCAAGATAAATACTGTAAATCCTAACCCCTACACAGTAGATTAGGCACAGACCAAGCAAGATGTCAGTCCATGTGAAGATCACCAATAAGCCATGGAACAAAAACTGAAAAGAGGTAAAGACCTTCCTCCCTAGAGAGGTACGGGGTATGTACTGGCCTAGCAGCATTTATAAAAATCCCTCATAAGGGAGGGTACAGTTAGCAAACAAACAGAAGGCTCATGCTATTTGCTTAAGCATATTAGTACACAAATGGCCAACAAGCACATGAAAAGATGTTCAGTATCATTAGCTGTCAAGGAAATGCAAATCAAAACCACAAAACCTCTTCACAACCACTAGGATGACTATAACAAAAGTTGAAAAGGATGCATCATAACTGGAAACCTCATACATTGCTCTTGGGAATGTAAAATGGTACAGCTTCTTTATAAAACAATCTGGTAGTTTCTCAAAAGGATAAACAATAAGCTACCATATGGACCAGCAATTCCACCATTAGGTATATACCCGAGAGAAATTAAAAATGTGTCCACATACATGTTATGCTCATAGCTACATGACTCATAATAGCCCGAAGTAGGAATACTGTAATACCCATCAACTAATGAATATGCAAATTATAGTATAGTCATACACTGGAATATTATTCAGTCATTAAAAAGAATGGAGTACTACCATTCCCTATCACTCCCCACCAAGAGACAAGTGGTGAGTACCTAAGAGGATACCAGCATATAATCGCCAATTAAATACATACCATCATGTATGGAAGACAACCTAAAATTTCAGTACACATTAAGAAATAAGACTTAAGTGGTTTAACTTCAAATTTTATTTAATTTTAAAAAAATCATTTTATTGGGGGTTCTTACAACAATCCATACATAAATTACATCAATCATATATCTGCATATATTGCCATCATTTCAATGCATGTTCTACTTGAGCCCTTGGTATCAGCTCTTTTCCCTCCACCACCCACCCTCGTAACCCCTTGATAAAATTATAATTATTTTCATATCTTACACAATCTTCTGTCTCGCTTCACCCACATTTGTTTTTCGTGGGGTGTTCTACGTCTATCATTGCGATTGGTTCCCCCTTTCTCCCCACACCTTCTCCCTATCCTCATGGTATTGCTACTCCCATTACTGTTCCTGAGGGTTTAATCAGTCCAGGATTACGTGTGTTGAGAGCTCTTATCTATATCCATGTACCTGTTCCAGTCTAGCCAGATTTCTAAGGTGAACTGGGGTCATGGTAGTAGGGGGGGAGGAGGGGTGGTGGGAAGCATTAAAAAAATAGAGGAATGCTGTGTTTCATTAGTGCTATACTGCACCCTGGCTGACTCATCCCTTCCTTGTGACCCTTCTGCGAGGGGATGTCCAATTGTCTACACATGGGCTTTGGATCTCCACTCCAAACTTCCTCCTTCACATCAACATGATCGATTCTTTTGGAACTTCTGATGGCTGATACCTGATCCCGTGGACACCCTGTGATCACACAGGCTGGTGTGCTTCTTCCATGTGGACTTTGTTGCTTTCCTGCTAGATGGCAGCTTGTTTAACTCTAAACCTTTATGATCCAGATGCTGAATCTTCTTATTTTTCTCTTAAGAACAGTGTATAGTTGGGGTCTACTTTTTTTCTACTTATCAGTTTGTGTGAGTGTTTTCTAAGACATCTCATTAATAACGAAAATTTTACTTATTTGATTAGTGGTAGTTTGGGGGTTGTCTGGTATTTTTGTTTTGTTTTTGTCTGTTTTTAATTCCCCATTTCTCTCTCCCTCCCTCCATTTCCCCACAACTACTAATTTTCTGTCATGATGGATTTGCCTATTTTGAAAGACTTCATAAGATGGATTTGCCTATTTTGAGAGACTTCATAAATGCATAATGATTTCAGTTTTTGTACACAGTAATATGTATGTACCACATTTTGTTTATCCACTCATCTGTTGATGGGCACTTGGTTATTTCCAGCTTTTGGCTATTATAAAAAATACTCCAATGAGCACTAGTATACATGTTTGAGTTGCTCCTTTCAATTATTTTTGGTATATATCTAGGAGTGAAATTTCTAGTCCTTATGGTAATTCTGTTTCTTTTTTTAATCATTTTATTGGGGCTCATACAGCTCTTATCACAATCCATACATCCATCGTGTCAAGCGCATTTGTACATAAGTGGTCATCATCATTTTCAAAACAGTCTCTTTCCACTTGAGCCCTTGGTATCAGCTCTTCCCCTTCCCCACCCACCCTCCCTCATGAACCCTGGATAATTTATTATTTTTTTCATGTCTTATACTGACCGCTGTTTCTCTTCACCTACTTTTCTGTTGAAGGGGGTTATGTGTCCATCATTGTGATCGGTTTCCCCCTTCCCCTTCCCTTACTGGTATCACTACTTTCATTATTGGTCCTGAGGGGTTGATTTGTCCTGGATTCCCTGTTGCAAGCTCTTATCTGTACATGCTCTGGGGTCTAGCTGGATTTGTAAGGTAGAATTGGGGTCATGATAGTGGGAGGGGAGAAAGCATTAAAGAACTAGAGGAAAGTTGTATGTTTCATTGGTACTATACTGCACTGACTAGCTCGTCTCTTCCTTGTGACCCTTCTGTACGGGGATGTCGAATTGTCTACAGATGGGCTTTAGGTCTCCACTCTGTCCTCCTCCTCATTCATATCGATATGATTTTTTGTTTTGGGGTTTTGATGCCTGATCCCTGATCCCATCGACACCTCATGATCATACAGGCTGGTGTGCTTCTTCCATGTGGACTTTATTGCTTCTCAGCTAGATGGCCGCTTGTATATCTTCAAGCCTTTAAGATCCCAGACACTATCCTGATAGCTGGGCACCATCAGCTTTCTTCACATTTGTTTATGCACCCATTTTGTCTTCAGCCATTGTGCCAGGGAAGGTGAACATCACAGAAAGTTGGGGTAGTTTATGTTTAATTCTTTAGGAACCACCTAAACTATTTTCCACAGTAGCTGTACTATTTTCCCACCAGCAAAGCACAAGGGTTCCAGTCTCCACATCCTTGCCAATACTTGCTATTTTATTGTTTTCTGGGTTTTTGTTTTGAATAATAAGCCATCCTCATGAATATGAAGTATCTTATTGTGGTGTTGATTTATCTGGTGACTAAGGATGTTGAGTCCTTTTTTTGCCATTTGTATAAGTTCTTTGAAAAAAATGTATACTCAAGTCCCTTCACCCACTTTTCTGTTGTCCGTCCCCCTGGGAGGGGGTTATAAGTCAATCATTGTGATCGATTATCCCTTTCTCCCCCCACCTTCACCTTACCCTCCTGGTATCGCTACTCTCATTGGTCCTGAATAGTTTATCTGTCCTGGGTTCCCTGGGTTCCGAGCTCTTATCTGTACCACTGTACTTGCTCTGATCTAGTCTAATTTGTAACGTAGAATTGGAGTTATGATAATGGGGGCAGGGGGTGAGTTTGGTTTTTATAAACAATCTACAAAAACTTAGATTAAAGTAATGTATTAATGTTATATGTACCAAAGTTGGTACCTAGTGTATTGTAGTTATGTAAGAAATATACAGTGTCAAAATGCGAAGCTGATAGCAAGGGCTACCAAGGGCTCAAGTAGAAAGAAAATGTTTTGAAAATGATGATGGCAACAAATGTACAAATGTGCCTGACACAACGGATGGGCGTATGGATTGTGTCAGAGTTGTATGAGCCCCCAATAAAATTACACACACACACACACACACACACACACACACACTGAAGTACTCAGAAGCCAGGATGAATATAATTTATGCTCAAGCTGTTCAGAAAAAGGTATTATTTTATATGATAAAAAGAGCAAAAATAATAATGCAAATGGGGAAAAAATAACACATGAATGTGGGTGAATTACATCTCAGTAAAAATAGAACAAGAAATAAGTTACTAAGAAGGACACAAAATTAGAGCACTGAACCTAACCAAAGATAAGTTAAGAGTTGTAGAAATTTGGTATTCCAAACTATGGGAACAAACACACAAAGTCCAAGAGAGAATTTTGAATATTTAGATTGCTAGACACCCAGAAAATGAGAGGTAAGAATAACTGAAATGGAATAATTTTTATCATCTAACTACAACCTCCTGGCAGTCCATGTCTTCTTCATCCCAAACCATCCTTTCATTGTTGTTCATTCCAGGTTATCCTCGGAAGCATCTTCCCTGATCATTTCCCCACATTCAATTAAACAAATTGTTTTATAACTTCATTATCTTCCTGGAATATTTCTTTCCACTTCCTAACCTTCTCTGAAAACTGGCTCTCCCTGAAAGACTCCACTAATCTTGTAGCAATATCACTGGAAAGTTGTTCATTCTCCTACTCTTATCTCTCCTGGGGCTCTGATCTTCCTGAGGCCTTCATGTTCCTACAAAGCCTTATTTTCTTTCATC